GTGTGTGTTCCCATCCCACCCTCCGTACTGGTGGCACTGGGCTGACACCAGTTGGTGCATGGGGAATGGGCGCGTTGGAAGGACACAGAGACAGGGATGCTGAGCCAGCACTAGTTCAGTGTCGGTTTTTATTTGTCTGACACTCAGAGTGGGGGGACAGGAGCAGGGGACAGGGGGATGTGAGGAGCGAGGTGTGCGGCTGGGGGGAGCCGCTGTCCCCAGAAGTGGGGAGGAGGGAGGGAGCCACCAAAGGGCCGGCGGTTGCAAGCAGGTCCCAGTGGGCTTAGGGGCTCCAGGATCTGTTCAGCGTCTTCTCCACATTGCCAGCCTCGTGCTTGACCTTGCAGGAGTATGTGTCGTGCCTTTGCCACTCACTGGCGTCCAGTGACAGGTAGCTGATGCCCACGTACTTTCTGTTTCTCTGCCACACGGTCTGACTGGTCTCCACATTGTTTTTGAAGATGGTGCCATCAACCACCCATTCCACTTCCACAGTGCTGGGGTAGAAGTTCTCCAGCAGACACACCAGAGTGGCTTTGTTCTTCTTCGCGATCTCTTCGGGGGATGGTGGGAAGACGTAGACGGTGGGAGCGACCTTGGGCTGGCCTGTGAGGGAAGAGAGAGGTGTGGGGTCAGAGAGGGCCCCGTGCCCCAGCACAGCCCCTGCCTGCCCAGCTGGCACTACCCACAAACTCCCTGCTTCCCCCACAGCCAAGAGCTTACCACTTATAACTTCAATGTATTTAGATTTGGCAAATCCATCCATCCAATTATTTATTTATTTATTTATATAATTTTTATATGTAAAATATGTGCATATATATGTGTGTAATGCATGTACACATATACATACATCCCATATAGACTTCTATATATGTTTTATATACACTATCTCTACATTTATGCGCATATATATAGTATATATTACAGATATATATAGCTAATACACATAATATACAAATATTAAAGATCACATTTATAAAGTATACAATGTACTTACATATGTAGTACATATCATTATATGAATATATGTATAATTCTATAAAATGCATATAACGTTTATGTATTTATGCCTTTCTTATATACGATATATATTATATTATATATTTTTATTTATAATATGCATAGCTAAATCTCTACTTATTTGCCACAAACCTATTTCTTTCCTTTTGCAAGGCAATTTGTTTAAAAAAATAAA